CTGAGCCGAAAAAATCTATGCATTGTTAGCACTTTTGGTTTCCGAGACATAATTCTTTGAAGTTTTTGTGCCCGATTTTTTTTTCACCCTTCTCGCAGTTTTTATTTTCGTTAACTTATACCGCAAGTATGAAAAGTTTCCAAACAGTCAAAGGAGTTAATTTAGTCTATTGCTTAATAGTTTACATTCTCAGTGAATCGAATCAATTAACATATATTATACCTGTAGAATGATATTGGAAAACTTTAGCAGCTGTTACTAAACGTTACTGTAAAGCAGATAACATTTACAAAAAATTTTAAATAACTAAAGAAAATAAAGACGAAATATTTTTAAAAAACTTATACAGATTATAAAACTATATTCATAGATACAGGAAAGATAAAGATAATTTTAAAGATAATTTACAAGGCCTTTGAACAAATTTACAATGTTGTAGAGACATTAGATTATTTTTTAACACAGGAGAGATGAAAAATGAGCAACGCCCTCGCCGGAAATTGAACCACGGACCTCTGGAATACGTGCCTAGCGTGCTGATTACTACAGTACGAAGGCATGCTAAGAAAGCGGGAGAAATACCTTATAATATAAACAATGTAGTTGAAAGCATGCTTGCCTCTTACTCGTATGACTGCAATGAGGGCATCCTTGAATACTGCCATAGAATTTTAAGACACAAGAAGAAATTTGAAAAATACTGTATCGTATTTTTTAAATCTCTTCTTGTAGGTGTATGAGTTCTTTAAAATTATAAACGAATAAATTAATTTTGAAAAAAATCGATGGTTATGAATAAATCTCAAAAGGTTTCATTCAACATCTACAGGAAAAACAAATTGAAGAGTTAATTTTTTACTTAGTAGTCGTCAAGTGCTTGCTTCTGATGGTTAATTCGATACAAATTTAACATTTAAATTCATTAGCTTGCTTTTTTTTGTCTCAAGCACTGGAAGAGCAGAAGTATTACAAACATATAAAGTATATTACAAGCATATATAATTCTAAATATATGTATACTATAATCTTTAAAAGTGAATTTAATTGCAAGACTATGCTTTTCTGTGATGGAAATTTAATCCTTCTGTTTTTTAGCATTTTAAAAATATTTCATATAAATATTATTTTCTTTCCTTTACCTGTAAAAATTAAATATTCAAGAGCATAAATTCGCAATTCCTTGGAGTTAATTCGGCTGACACCAACCTCTAAATAATTCAGAAATTTGCTCTGAATTTTTTAGGAAAACAATTTTAACTTAGAATATATCTTTAGTGACATACAGCTCTTAAATAATAATCACTTTTTACCATAATTCTTGAGATACACAATTATATTTTAATAATATCACTTAAGGCGAAAATTATTTTCTTGGTGGTCATTTCTTCGTTATGTGACATAGTACTATGAATGATAAAGAACTTGATGTATAACGTTGTAAAGCAATTTATCATAATTAAAACAAGAAAGCATCGTTTTTTACGTTATAAATGAAACCTTCTATAAAACTTGACACAGGATGCTTTCTTCGATGCTGTGTGTAGTATTATAATATTGAGTAATTAGATTTACTAAGAGTCTAAATTAGTTTATTTCCATTTAGTATATAAGGCACCCAAAATGTAGCTTCATACTTTGATTTGCTATGAAATATTCGCATATTTGAAAATTTTTTTGATTTTTAACATGCTTCTCTTTGACTGTATGTACTTAAATTGTAATTTCACAAAATATATTTTATTTTTAATAATTTTCAGTCATTTCCGCAAAACATGTGTCCATTTAGGTATGATTAGTAATTTAATTAGTTGAATGTTTAAATTATAATACAAGCACTAAAAGTTATTAGAAAATGTTTAGAGTTTATACATTTGTACTAATTTAAAATTTCATGGAAATATTTTAAAGAATAAAAACGGCTAATTTTAAAAAGAAATATATCACTTGTGAAACGAGTTTTCCAACACACTTGTGTTTTCTGCAGGAAAGCGATTGTACCTTGATTGCGTAACATCGGTTTATTGAATATCAGTATAAGAGGCTTACAAATAAATATTTGCAATATTTCTTTAAACACCCTTCGGGTAGCAAAACCTTCAAAGGCCTTTTAAGAAATGTCATTTAAAACAAGTCTATCAAACTGTAAGCCCAAATTCTTTCTTGTCCGTGTAATGCTAATATGACAATATTTATCTTTTTCAGTTTGATTTTCTTTGATGTGCTTAAAGTGTTAGAACATCATTCAAGATGAATTACTTTCTCAGTTATTTGAAATATTCTAAAAATTTCTTTCTTAATTAATACTGAATAGAACAAGCTTTGTTTCTGTTTTAGCTTTAATTTTTTAATGACATAATTCAACCGAATGAAAGCAATGTTGAATTCTTTTTTTAACTTTGCTCTACTTTTTTGTTTTCTGTCGTTGATCTCGGATAGTTATATAATAGATATTTATTCTGAGAAAATTTTTATTTGTGTTTTTAATTTTCTATTGTAAACTATATTCCGTTTATTCTGTATATTTGGATCACGTGATACTCCAGATTGATATTCAGATAATGTGACTAAAAGTGGCTTTGGTTTTGAAAGTTAAAGGTATGTGCTCAGTCTTGTTGCGAAAAGTATCATGATGTAAAAATAGTCAATTCACTGCATAAACAAAATTATTTCATCTTCATCTGTTTTGACATGAATAACAATTCCGTTTCAGTATTGTGGAAAGCAAACTTTCGTCTTTCAGTTCTTTGAGTAACTGATGCTAGCTTCAGAAAATAGATAACAAGGTTTACTATTATTAACTCATAAATGCATTATACAATAACATTAATTTTCTTTAAAACCACAATGATATTGTACCAGCGTGCCTTGAAATTACCGCTATTGATAAAAAATTACCAAGTTCTTTCTCCACCAATCATTTCTTTCCTTTTAAATATTATTCGCTATTATTTTCTGAAAAGTAAAATGTATTCTTTTTATTATGATGCCGTCAGTGTTAAAAACTGTTCTTTACGAAGTGATAAATATTTTGGATAATCAATTAACTGTTATTTCCCACTGTTCATAATCTTTCTTAAATAGTTTGAAATTATCTAATCTTCTGAACGAATTATAGTCTGACACAATTTTCTTGTTGATATCTTTTCAATTCGATATAATTGAATTTACATGCAGATGACTTTTATTAATATTATAAATAGTATTGAAAGCAAAAATTCATGTTAAAAAATAGAAAACATTTTACCATATCAGTTGCTATGTATTATATTTCACCCTTCACCCTCTATAGACAACAAGCCCAGGAAGCATAATTATTACAAAACATCTTTAATAATGTTTCATAAAATTAAATAATGGTTTAATGTTTATAATAATCTTAAAATTCTAAAAGCATTTTATTATGTTAATAAACTGCTGAAGAAACAGCTGTCTAAGAATTATTTATGTTATCTTACGAGTTAGAAGGAGTTGAAAATTATGTCTGAAATACTAAGCTGCAAACTATTTTTTATTTTTATGGTACATAACATACGTTTTCATTAATTGTACTTATCATACAAGCTTTTAAAATTGACAACAGAAAATGATAAATAAAACTCTTACATGTATGTAATGTTTTAAGAAAGATAGTTATTAAACAATAAATCCATTTGCTTATTCCATTGTTATTTTCATTTTGGTTAACGAACATCTTTCTCATTATGTTGAGTACAATCAACACCCGCAATTTTCACAATGTGCGTTTTTATATAATTTTGTATAAAATTCGCATCTTTTGGATAAATATGTAGAAGTCCGCTATGACAAAAATGTATAATATTAAAATGTTGGCTTAAATTTCGTGAGCAATACTCTTATTGCAGAGATCTTAAAAAATATTGCTTCTTATCCAACAAAAATAAAATACATTATCTCAACATTTAAACTCTGCTGATGGGCGTTTTACTTGTAAAAGCTTCTAAATTTCTAATCTGTACACTTTGGAATTTTCTTCTTTATCTCTAAAGATTTCTTTGTCACTCAGAGGTGAAACACTTGCCAAGATTTGGCAGTAAACTGCAAAAGTAAAACAAGGGAGGAAGAAAAAAGCAAGAAACAAGTAGCAGCTACTGTTCCACCTACTCAGAGGAGGGATTGTTACATTCAAGAGGTGAAGAAACTAGAAGCAAAATGAAGGTTATAGAGTTCCTGCTTTAAAAATTTGAGATGCTGATACCCACATTGATAGCGTCTTCGTCTCGTCAATGTCTTGCAACCCCGCAAATTCAGCATGTCCTTTGGTTTAGCCGTTTTTATCTTCTTCAGAATTTTCTAATTTATCTGCAGCGACTAGGTTTGTTTCGTCATTTGTGTGACTTATTGCCCCTGGAACAATAGCTTATGCACTTTATGTGATCTTTTCCAAGTTAGTAATTGAACACGTTTAAGTTGTTGTTAATGTTGTTGCTGCTATCCTAGCATAGAGACAGAGAGTTTTGGAAACAATTCTTTCTTGTTCATTTCAAACCCATCTGCGGAGTGTCACTTGAGATACATTTTTACGTATAACTTAATAATTTATTCAAGCATGACACAATTTAATCATTTATTATTATTATTATATAGCACAATTATCAAAATTAAGCTTGCATTATTAATAAACAAATTTTTACAGGAAACAAAGTTTTGGAAACAAATTACAGGAAACAAATTTTTTGGTGACTGAAATACTTACGTCACCCATATCTCACTAAATTGCAAACCGCTCAATCACCTAAAATGTTTTATATAATCTTTTAATAAATAGGCGACAAGAATTTTTCTACCGATTGATTTGAAATTACGTTTTAGTTTTACATTACATCCAGTTAAAAGCAGTTAACAAAAGGCAGAAATTCTTCTTGTAAATCCCACATATTCATTATTGAACATTCAATATGAACATTCAATGCAATACGTTATTTCATTATTTATATGCTGCTTTGTGCTTTTAGTAATTTTCCATTCACTTTCATTTACAGTAACGGGCGCGGCTGGTGTAGGAGCAGGAACTTCAGTAGGGGGCGTAACAGGCGCAGAGTATGCAGCCTATACGTCTCCGTATACGCAGTACTCGCCAGCAGCTGCGTATAGCGCATATGGTTATGGATCAAGCGGAATCATAAGTAAGTAAAGAATTTCCTAAAAACTCTAAATATTTAATAAAATATCTGCTTCCTGCGTATGATAAATAAATAATTTTATGACGCTATATCTAAATAAAAGTTACCGTACTCTGATAATATCACAATAAAATCTAAATATATTGATGAATACACAAATAATCAAATAAGATTGTTGTTTAGATGCTAGTAGTGCTTAATGTTTCCCTTTGTGCAGAGGATATCGATTATAAACTCATAGAAGGGACGATTTCTAGCTTAAATTTATTACATGGTGTCACTAAGGCAGCTTCCTTTCTAGTATTTTGTAAAAGATTTAGTAGTAAATTGTTTGTAGAATGAATCTTATGGAAAAGTTTTGTCTACTAGATACCTTACGCTTTGTGCTTGCGTTGTATCTGTACTGAGGTGACGAATTTGACAGGGAGCTGGAACCTCACTAGTGAATTAAAAAGAGCGGATAGGAATTCATTTAAGTGTCATGTAAATTTTTGCTAGAATGTCTAAAATCAACTTAAATGCTGATTCCCGTTGCGTTTTATTCTGGACAAGAAGATAAACGTTTAAGAGAAAACAATTATCTGTAGACTTGGGAAATTTGATTACAAATAAAAGAACAGTTTTGACATTTTTCAAAGAACGCAAAACTAAACAAAGACCAAATCTTGCTGTCATTATCCTTCAACTTTGTGAATTAGAGCATCAAATCTGATCATATTTCATAACTGACGATTTTTTAAATTGAAAAAAAAAATGTATAGGTTTAAAAAGCTTTTTTTCCCTAGAACCTTAATCTGATCGAAAATGCATTTGTCTGAAGAAGGGACTTTGGTGATCGTTAATGCCTTGTTATAATTGTCTGAAGCTCATAATGATGCTTGAGGAACAATAGAAGATCTTTATTCAATAAGATTTTTAGTAGCTCCTAAACTACGTAAGGATTCGTTGTGAATGCTAGACAGCTACCAGAAGCATCATATTAAAGATTTAGATATTCAGATACCCATCTTCTTTTCAATCCCTCTATTTTAACTACCTACCTCCTGCGATCAAGAATTGCTTAGTATCTCTTAAATGGTACGATTCATTATGAATGCCAGATTCGTTGTAAATACCAGAGAGCTATCACAAGAGTCACTTATAATAATTAATCAATTAGGTCTATAATTTTTTCACTCTTTCTTCTTCCCTCTATACGCGTTAATCAAATTTAAGGTTCTCAAATACAGCGATAAGAATTCCATTTCCATTTCTGACGTTTTCAGTGATAGGCTAATTTGCTTTCTCGAAAATCAGTATTTTACAAGTATCCTTTTATTTTCATGTAGAGGCGCAGAATATAAGTGTTAATGAACCTTAATTTTTAAATATGGTATTTTCAAACCTAATAATAGCTTTTGTATCGTCAATGACATCTGTGTATCTCATACTGAATTGTATCTTAGCATTTCTTCGGTTAGTCACTATGTAGTGCACTCATACAAAATGTATGAAAGATTCTCAGAATAGCTCTGTTTGACAAAAAAGAACATTATTTATCTAAATTTAATCAATATCTCCTTCCAAATATTCACCTATCGTACCAAAGAACTAGTGATCCTGCCACCGTAGGAATGTGGATTTGGAGTTATTTTGCGTAAGCCATTCCATAGCCTTTTGATATTGTCACTGATAATGATGATCCCAGACATGAAGGATAGATTACAGATGCAGATCGTGGCACAGAGCCGATGTTCTCTTTGTTCATGAAATATAGGGGCAAATTTTCTAGCGACAACCTGCAAGTCGAATTTTGATGGTAGAATTTTTTTTCCGGACCCATTCGATACTTCAATAATATTAAGTTGTTGACCGTCCTTCGACTATCACCTTCATAAGTTAATGCACATTTTGGGGAACGATAGTTGTCGATAGTCTTCCAGATCGCTTATTATCTTCAAGGAACGTCTTTTCAATTTCATTTTTCATCTTTGCTCCACTTGAAACATTATGTACGACTCATTTCTTCAATGTATTCAGCATTTCTGGGGCTGATTTATCCAGTTTAACGTAACATTTTACGTGAGATGTTTGAATCATTTTTATGATGCAATAACAAAAATCCATAAATAAAAACACTGCGATATGAACTCTCAATGTTAATATAGCAATGTTTCTTATCACATTGCTCCATCATTATTGACTCTTGCCATCGGTTGTTGGCACGCCTCAGAGCTAATCCTAGAATTTTTCATGAAGCGGCGTGTGTGTGTCTGTATATATATATATATATACATTTATATGTGTGTGTGTGTGCGTGTATTATAGCATTTTTTGTTTGTATACGCAATTTAAGTAGAGCGCTTATTATATGTCCAAACATTATTTTCTCATTTTTAGATCCTTCTTATTACTATACACCAAGTGCTGCTCGATCAACGACAGGAGCAAATCCTAGCCTAGCGGCAACTTCTCCGATCAGTCCCAACAACTTCAAGGCAGAGAGATGCTAGTGATCACTATTTAGAACATTCGATGCCAGCCATGCCGGACAGCGAACCGGTTCGTGGGTACCGATTTTATGACATTTCATGAAGTTTCGAGATGAGAATTCCTCGACTATTCTCAGAATACGCATACATTGCTGGTTGGGATACTACCTCGATACATGATGCTTGAAACATACAGACACATGTGTCTTTCCCATTGCTTGCCTTTCCGTGCGATGCGCAGGTGTATCAACAAATGGTTCATGCATGCGCAGTAGAATTACAATTTGTGTGATAAAAGTTGATCCATGCAGACGATCCAGAGTCGAAATAGTTTGCTGTTTAAATTCAATGGATCTGATTCAGATGATTGAAGAATTGCATGTAGATGTATTTTCCATTAGTATTTATTTCAATGAAATCTTTACTTTTATTGATTTCATTCCGAAATGGTAACTTATTTTAAATGGGCTTTAAGCATTAAGTGTTATTTTCATTTCTCGATTAGCAACTTCAAGGATGAAAACTATTGATTTTGAGTAGAGAAACTCTACTTGTATTTTCTCGTTTCCCACCGAAAGGAGTCTTTTTAATTTATTTGAGAAGTTGACTTGTTTAGTCTTCACAAGAACAGGGAAATCATTCATCATCCACACAGACGACCTTTAACATGTTTTCATCAAAAATAAAATATTTGTTTGAATGTTTGAAGTATTTTTTTTTTGAACTATTATAATTTATATTTATCAGTAGTCATCAAAATGTTCAAGTTTCGCAAGCTGAATATCTATTAAAATCAGTGAAGTCTTCTATATTCTAATATAGATAGAAGCTACTGTTATGAACAACTAAAAAAACATCTTCTTAATCTTAAGTGAATAAACTTTTTGTTCCTATTTTTATTTCGATAACTTTTATTCAGTAACTGGAATTGTACTGCGCATGCTATTTTGAATAATCCACCGTTAAGAACATATTACTGAAAAGTAATTTGAACGAAGAAGAAGCAAAAGAAAAGGACTTCTTTTGAATGAAACCTACTTAAATATGTACAGAGTACTTCATTTTCGGAAATGAATCCGATATCAGAAGATTATTGAAGTAACACCAAAGGAACTTCAAACTTCGATAACTTTTTTAACATAAATTGTAAAATGTTATGATACACAGGGTAAGCCTAAAGTAGGAAAATGAACTGATTGATTCTTTTTTGTTCGTGCATGATTTTAAATATTTTGAGACCAAAGATTTTGTTTTCATTTCATCTTTTTCTCTTTGCTTGTGTGTACAATATACGTAAACACAGTATATATACATATATAAATATACATAAATATATTTTAAGTAGTTGCTTAATATCCACATAATTTGTAAAATAAAATATTTACTTTATGTAAAAATTTGAGTATTGAGATAATTGTTATGGGCTGAATTAATTTAATATTTTAGAATTTATTACTGCCAATTAAAACTAAGAAATTATAAGGCAGATATTGCTTCAGGCCTTATGTACTTAAAGAAATGAAGCATTGTAATATAAATGTGTAATTAATGCTTTGTGTTTAGTACGACAGTAAGAAAAATAAAGATGGATGACTTTTTAAACTTTATATTTATATTTACCGCTTAACTTATATTTACCGCTTAATTTAAAGAAACTAATAAATTTCTGAAATCTGATACCTATGTCAAGGACTTCAAGTTACAACACCTACTAGGTATGTTTTCAAAGTTAATATTTGTAAAGTCTTACTAAACATTAAAAAATAAAGTCAATAACGTAAAAAAATGTGAATTTATGAATTCGTAAAAACAGTAATTCATCCACTAAAATATCGGGGATGGAAAAAACTCCTTTTTTTTTTTTCAAATTTAAGTATGTGTATTGCACATACTTAAAATGTAAACTGAGTATCTTCTTTGCGATAAAATTACAATACTTAAATGTGTACCTATGCATGTTTAAAAATTATTTTATAAATTATTAATTGGGTAGACGTAAAAAAAAACCGCAAAATGTTTCATCAAAATCAATTTGTATTATAAAGAATCATCATCATGTAAATAATGTGAATAAAATACATTCTTAGGATCAATTAAACATTATTAAATGAGAAATGTGATTCAAGGCATTCTATGTTTGCTCCTCATCTTCTTATTTAAATATAATCTTATTTAAATGTTTAAATTGATAGTTATCGTTTAAAGGAAAGGAAATAGGTTAAAAAGTCTACTAGCACAAAATTTATTCCTCTAATAGAATTTAAAATTTAACTTTTAAACTTTAAATATTATAATTATAAAAATAGGCGTCACTTTTTGTAACGAGATTTTGTTTATAAAATAGTTATTTTAATAAAGGAATATAATCTTCCACTTTTCCAGGATAAAAAAAATTGTAAAACTTAAGAAAATTAACTGCAAAATATTTTTTTGTAAAAACTTACTTCATTTTTGTATATCTAAATAAATAAAAAAATTTAAATTTAAGGATTTTAAAGCTTCCTTTTAGTGTGCTGCACTATTATGTACATAAACAAAATGTCTTATTTTAGAAGTTTTAAAGGAAAATTTTAGTTTTAAGGTTAATTTGCCTTATTTTTCATTTAAAAGTACTATTAGCTCTAATTTTGTTACAACCTGCATTTAATCTCATCGTCTCTTTGCTTGGTAAAACTTAAAATGGAATTCAAGCTCCTTTTTTTTTGATAACTTTTCATTCCAACTTTGGTATGTATTTCACTATTCCACCCGACAATTGCTTTAAAAATACCTCGCATCAAAAAGCTTATAAATATTAATAAAATTAAAATAATTTTTTATATTGTTTTTTTCCCAACAAGTCATAAAGAAAATTATCTATTATAACATGTTAATTTCTTTATGACCAACGCATCGTTTTATGATAAAAGCATTATGAAAAACGAAGTTTTTTCAACTTATTTTCTCTCTCTCTAAAAGCAATAATCATTCTCTTTGAATTAGTGTTTAAGACTTGATATTTTCTATTATAGTTCCTTATTTTGTAGAGTCGAATTGTACAAATTTGGGTTAACTTTGTATATTTGTGCAGTGTGGATACTAAGCAATTATTGTCTTTGTTTTTCTTCAACATTATTTGTGTCCATTTACAAATGAAGGGAGAAGTAGTCAGTGATCTTTTTACAAATGTGTTGTGATGAACAGGTCCAATCGATAACGGGTTTTTCCTCAATTAATCGATTGAACTAGTTAATTTTTATGTTCTTAAAAGAAAAAAATAATGTACTTAGAGTTTGGTGGGATGACATGCAATGAATACATTTATATAAAAATTTTTAGAATTAGTTATAAAATTGAGTTATTTTTTTACAGTTTTCCCATTTTATACATGTAAAGTCTTTAGTGTTTTGATTAAATAATCAAAAATGAATTTTTGTGGGATAAGCTATAGCATAAATAAGTAAAGAAGCTTAAAGACATCCAAATATTTGTGAAAGTTTCATTAAATGTAAGATAAAAAATATTTGTTTGCTGTACATTTATATGTGTATTTTTATATGTTTGCAAATACATATATTTGTTTGGTGCTTTTATGCATTTATTACTTAGTACATTTTACTGAATTATCAGAAGACATTTTTATTACTTATCAAATATTGATAATTCATCAATCTAAGAGTTATGTGTTCGAAATATGAAAATTTAATTACACTTGAGATAACACGAACTTCCTACTGTAACGTATGTTTGTTCTAAAAAAAAACTGAATTTTCTTCCATGTTGTATTGAGTATTTTAATATTTTGATTATAAGCCAAGAATGCTTAAATTTTGAAAATCTACAAATTTAATGTTTTAGTTTATATTTATGTAGTAATGATGACATATTGTTTAAAATGTGTAATTTCATCAACTTAAAGAAGAATGTTTAGTTAAATGCCTTTAAAACTGAAGAAACTGCATTTTATTTGCTTGAGAATGTGTTTTACTATAAATGTTGAAAATTTGTATTGTTTGATCAGAGTATGTTTCTCTGTAAAACCCTTTTTTCGTATATAAACGTGATGAAGATCTTAATTTGTCTTTTGCATGTCATGTCACCAATTTTGTACTTCTGCTGGTATAGTCATCATACCGTATATATGTATTCTATCTGCTGTATAAGTTATATAAATCGGAAAATCACGAGCTTATGTTAGTTCTCTTTTCATTGTTGTCTGTTCTTTTCTAATTCTTGTTGTTACTGCATGGTTTTATATTTAAAATGCATTCGTTCAAAATTAATATACATTTACTTTAAAATCTACATAAATTTGCAAATGCAATCCAAATAATAAAAATTCTTCATCAAATTAATTTAAAACAAGCACTGAGTAATATTCAGAAACAAACATTTCTATAGTGCATCTTTGCTTGATTTTTGATAATTTTATTTTAAAATAACAAATCAACCTCGACGTATGTTATGCAATATATATAAATGATAAATATAAATTAATTGTATACTTCAGTAGAAATAAACTTTCGCACAGAAAAAGTCATTATTGTTTTTAGAAAGTTAACTAAATGTATGGTAGAATTATTAAGAGACTTATTTTGAATAAAGACTAATTATAGCTATATGAAAACACTTGACTTTGACACAAATAAATACAGGCATAAAATAAATAAAATTTAGACTTTTTAATGCACTAGTAAAATTTTTTACATGTTGATATTTTTATGGAATAATACATCCTTCGTCGTTTGGTTTTTTATATTTGTCGTGACAAAAACAAAATTAAAAACACATTAGCAGAAAAACATCTAGCGTAAAGAGCCATAACGCCATAAGGCACAAAAACATTTTGGAACTTAACATATATCCCCCCTCCCTTGAGTGAACTTGAATATATAAAATACTCAAGTTCAAGATGATTGCTTGGGAAGAGGGCAGCATATGGAATTTAGACATAAAAAATCCAGTTGATGTTTTTACTTCAACAACTCACACGACTCCGTCTTTTCCAGTAAAAACTTCTGTGATACTTCCAAGATTCCATTTCATAAGAGGAAGAGAATCTTCCTTGAAATACACCAAATCATTCACTTGAATATTCTTTGCACACAACGTACGCTTTCTCGTAGTTGCATTCGTTTCACATATTCTTTTTACCATCTTAACCAAAACTGATTACGAACTTGCTGAATCGCATGTCATCTTGACTTTTAAGCAAAACGATTTTGTTGGAGTTTTCTCAGGAAACGACGTTACAGGAACACCTAAAAAGATGTCCTGGAGTAAGACATTTTAAGTCTTGTGGATCTGAAGAAAGAGGAGTCGGTAGCCTGGAATTTAGACATGCTTTGTATTATTAGAGTGTTAAGTTCCTCAGACGTTAAGCTGTCTGACTTGCAAACTTATCAAGTTTAATGGAATAAATTTTGACTCGCAGGCTTGATTCCAGCCTCCACACAGTACTCCAAAATGTGGACTTAAAGTGAGATAAAATGCCATATAATAGATTCTTGAGCAGAAAAATCTTGAATTTTAGCATTCAAAAAAAAGGTCCTTCACTATTTTGTACTGTTATAACAAATGCTGCAAGCAAAATTAAATTAGAATTCTTTATATTTCCTGTGAAGCAAAACTGCTGCTCTTCGGAATTGCTAGATGAAGTTTGATATAAAGTATGATTTTGGTATGGGGTGCGATTTACCATTATTTAAAGTTAACTACTTAGTTCTTAGATGACTAAAACACTATTCACACACTGAGTTCACTAAAACATTATTTTTAAATATGAAATTAAATACAAATAATTGAGAATACACAAATGAAAATGATTCCATTATTTACCATTTTAAAAACTTATTCAATTTTTAACTCCATTAAATTTAATTCTTTCCAATTTTATGAAATAAATGCAAGAATGGCCCCCAAAGGGCCGTTTTAATGAGTCATTCAGCTGTATACGCTAAGCACGTGCCGCAGCACGGCCAAAAAAATAATCATCACTTTTATTAGCAGATCTTCACTATGCTTCTATGTTATAACGCCGAAGTGTTTGTGCTGTGATGGTTACTCCTCATGGTTTGTGTGTGTTACTCCGCATGGTGCGTAGAACCTTTAAGTTCAAAATCCTCCAGCACTATTCAGGTTTTTGAGTTTTAAGGACTGATAAAGTTGTTTTGGTGTTTTACAGTTCGATGAACCCTAAAATCCGATTGCAAATGTGTTAGATTGCATACTTCATTAGTGTAGTAAATATCCCACTTCGACAAGCTAGTAAACAATACGTCACTCTCAGTTAAAACTTTCATAATTTTTGCAAACTATTTCATTATTACTACTGAAAAAACAACTTATTTGTGACAAACTGTACTATTAAAAATAATCAATAACATATGAATTATAGTGAAGAATACCGTTGCTTATAAATAGATGAATGCATTTATATGCAATACAATTATTACTAAAGACTGTTATTTTGAAGTCCACGTATTGAGAATGACATTAATTTTGTGATAATGACTGTGCGTTATTTCTCTGTGGTCGTTACTAAGCCATATAAAGAAACTATAATTATCCGATGAGCTACATCGTTATAACATGCATATGAAATTATTCTGAACTCTTAATCTTAAAATCATCTGTTGAACCAAAGAAACTGTACAACATGTTTATACAAAATATAGAACAATACTTTTTACAGGCAACTATTGTTAGAGCTTAATTGTTTGGCCCATTTATATTCATCCCATCTAATTTTTCTAAGAGATTTGTAAAAGTCAAGTACTTGAAAGTAATTTAACGAATCCACTTGCAATGAATTAAAAAAACCAATATTGCTTTCTATTTCAAACTATAATAGAACTTAAGTCTTGTCAGTGCGTTTGCTGTCATTAAAAATTTAGCTTTAAAAAATTTAAGTTTATATTCAATTAGAAAAGTTATTCGTTCCAAATGAATATTGAACCGAATATTGTTCTTCATGTTATAAAGGGTAGCAGTGCATATAGTGAAGTCGCTACCATTTGTTACTACAAATCATTCTATTTAATATGCATATCCTGACATGTAGATATTTCCAACTTCCATTATGAAAGGGCAAAGCTGCTGGAAACAAATTTCAGCTACATTTGCTCAGACCTCTTTGTTTGATTAGAATATACGATCACCGAGAAATATTTTTACAGCTGCAAAGATGGAAAAGTTCACAGCAACGAACTGGAGTTATACAGTGAATTCTTCTGACCTTCCCATCCGAAGTAGTCCAGCTTTTCTTTACTGAGAACAGTGGTTTCCCTGGTATTGTCATGCAGCACATTGAATTCCATAAATTTCTGTTATAAACACTTATAATTTAATCACGTACCTCAGTGACATTAATTCAGTTGTAGAGTTACAATTTTGACTGAAGGTGTTTTGAGTTTATATTTTTGCCTTGTCATGAAGTGTGAACTGAATTCATTTTCATTGAATGAGGAATATATCACATAATGAAATTCGAGTTAAATAAGTTTACATGAATTTCAGCAAAAAATGTCTATAATTCAACAGGTAATACTAGGAAGTCATGTGGTGTCCACATCAAATGTTTTCCTTGATTTTCATGCCACTTCTCCTATCCGAAAAATATCAAACTACATGCTGAGATTTATTGAATGAAATTAAAATATCTGTTCAAACGACGTACGTTTCATTGTTAGCATTGAAAAATATCAAAATAACATTAACAATAATTATTATTGCACAGTCGCTTAAACGTTATATTTCCAGTTTGAAAGAGTTAATGATTACATTAAGTTAACAATGAATCAAACTCTGTGTTATCATTTAAATGTTTCTTTCTTCCGTTGCCTAAAAGTGTTTTCGACTATTTTCAATTAAATATTTTGCATAAGGAGAACATATATATATATATATATATATATATATATATATGAACATAATTAAAACAAATATAATGAATATTTTTAGTATGTATTTCTAAATACCAAATAAACAAAATAGTTGCCTGACGTTGGAGCAGCACTCATTTTAAACTGACTCGCTTTATGCACAAAAATTGGCCGACACTGTTATGTTAATAAAAGTAGAGCTAAAATAATCTGAAAGGGTTCCGATTTTAACGGTAGTCCAAAAAGGTTCTTTTAAAGTTTAATATAGTTAACCAGTAGAGATTATTAACAGAAGTGGCTCAAGTGGAAAAAGCGAAATATTATGCAGAATACTAGATTAATATGCATTTATACTAACATGGGGACATTATATATCTTTTGTATATTTGAAAAAAATATGAAAGTGAAAAAAATATAAAATGTAATTCCTTAAAAATATTTAATGCTTTTAGTTAGATGTTTCATGAATTAAATGCACTTTTACTTAAATCACTCGGATTAAAAAGTAAAAGAAAATATGTTCCTTTAAATAACTTTAATCTATTGCTTTTAAATAGAGTAGTTTTGAATCAATATCGGACAAATTAAATTTGAAAGAATAATATCTTACGTTTTTCCGAATGGCAAGAGACTCAAATGTAAAGTGAAAAACCCGCTTTACAGCGGAAATTCAAAATTAAGTTTCTAGACTAATTTCCTTTTATACTAATGATATCGAAGAAAATATTGTAAGAAATTAAAAAAGGCAATTTTACTGATTTTTGGAAGCTAAGCAAGAATAGGAAAGCTGAAGTTACTTATCAGTGTCAGAAGAAGTATTTTAAGGATTTCACTTAATTCACTATTGACGTTCGATTCCGAAATACAAACAGTTTACCTCTGAAATAAAGTATTAGCTCTATTTTAATTAATGGAGATACACAGCTTATTCTTTCTTCTGATTATTTACTTTATTTTATGGGAAAAAATTTTGCAGCTTGCTAAAATGTTGATTA